GTGGGAGCTGTCGATCATCTTCGATGCTAGGCAGCCTAGGCACCAGTCCATGCAGCCAGGGCCCACAGCAAGAGGAAGCAACATGAAGCATCCAAGGAAGCAATCACCGATACTGAAGATAGTCAGACAGTAGGTACTCGTATCATCCGTTCTCGTACTCTGGCATTTCTTCCTGCAGAACTACTGTTTTCGCAGCAGGTGGAAAAGCAGAACGGCATGTTGAACCTCAGCAAGGGGTAGCAAATCGATCACTTTGCCCAGGCCCTCCCCAGCCTCAGCATCCGTTTCAACCGAAGTCATCTTCGCTGAGGAAGCTCTATGCGCAGTTCTTCCCGTTCCCAGCGGCCGCCGCCATGATCCGCCGGGCCGAGACGAGCGGAGCCGACCGCTACGACTGGGTGATCCGTGCGCGGCCGGATGCCACGTGGCAGGTCGGAGAGGTGGGAGACCGTCGGGTCGACAGGTCGGGTGATGTCGATCTTCATCTTCCACCCTGTTTGCGGACGAATGTGTGCGTCATGTTTATGATGTTTATGCTTGGACATACGGTCAAGGTACAGATGCTTCTTGTGAAATTCAGCCTTCTGTTTGCCTCAAGCAGTCAATGTTTTGCACTCCAATCCTTACTCCAATCCTTTTCGTCCTGGCTTTGCCAGTTGTGGCCATGACTCTACGTTCTACGTGACGCATAAAGGATCGACTGTCGGGAGAGAATTATAGCGGCCTCCAACCTAATAGCTTCTTGCTCCTAGTAGCTTCTTGCTCCTAATAGTAAGGCCAGGAGCCCCTAGTAGCGTCCTTGCTCCTAGTAGCGATGCCCTTTGCTCCTAGTAGCAAAGGAACCTTTCTGAGGTAACCTTCGTTGGCCGCCCTGTGCGGCTGCCCTTGAGCTCCGAACAGCTCCGAACAGCGCCGGCCATGGCACCCGGGCTTCCAGGGTTCGGAGTGCGAGAAGACGGGAAGCGAACATTAATCATCAATCGTAAGATATCGTAAGAATGTGTATATATATATATATATGCCAGTAAGTTTTGTAGGTTTAGGCATATAATTGTATACAATTAATCGTTTACTATAATTAATACCATGCTGAACCTACAACAGGTACGGATAAAGGGATAGAGATCTCACTGTGCAAGACTGGCGCTTGATTGTTTGATGAATTGATACTATAGTACAATCAGTGAGACAACACAATGAGGACAGCTTGAGGTGTTGCTTCATATTATGTCATTTGGCATTGGCTTGGAGGCCAAAGCCACCCACGGGCATGCACACATTCACTGCGGTATTGGACAAGCTGACACTGCAAATCCTGTTCGATCCAAGTAAACCTCTTCAGGGTCTTTGTATGTATGTGTGTCTGTCAACTGCTGAGCCGCTCCCATGGTTGCCGTCAGAAACAGGCTATCAAAAGTGACAAGGGCTTGACAAGGGCTATAAGATGCTGGACAAGGGCTATAAGTAAGTGTGTGTCTTTGGGGGTCAGAAACCACTGACTTTGTGCGAAACATGGTCAGTGGCTCCGATCCACTAGAACAGTCCGACTTGGTCAGCGCAAACATGCAGCATGCTCAGGTGTTTGGTCAGGCTTACTACCACGGCTGCCTGGAAGAAGTAGTTCGTATCAGTGTGCAGTTCAAAGCCCCGTTCAGTTCCGTTTTTACTTTTACGATTCTTCTACGTTTGGGTCTTGGAGATTATCCGATCAAAGAATCCGAAAAGTCCGCCATCTTCACAAGCACCCAACACATCATTGGAAGACAAAACACGGGACACTCCAGAGGTCTCCAAGTAAGGCTGACCCCACATGCAAGGCCTCACCATGCTTCACCTGAATCATTCCATCCCAACACGATGCCAAAAGATGCCAAAAGTTTAGTTGCTTCTGGGGAACGCCTTCACTGATGCACGTAAATTCTGTCACGCTTTTCTGCTCTTTTATCGATGAGCGGTAGCAACTCCTCCACCCCTTGCAGCCTTCAAGAGGTAAGGGACGAAAGATGACGAAAGAATCCATGCGTCTATCAGCCCATCCGTTAGTGGCTTTGAAGTTGTTTCATTTGAGAAACTGGCTACCCACCTACCTAAGCATCACCATCTCATTTTTGGGAAAGAGCCTAAGTCCACAACAGCGACAACTTCAAAATCCGTACCAGGTGCGAAGACCGTAGGACCAGGGCTAGTAATTACAACACGAGACATCTCAGGCTGCACCCTCCTCCCATCTCTCAGGATGTTTGCTGTGCGACCAGTTCTTCCTCGCCACCCGAAATGCCTTTGAAGCGCTCTTCGGTTTGGAGGAGGCTTTCCGCCGCTGCGAGGAGCTGTTGAAGGAGCCGCCAGAGAGCTGCTGGTGCTGCAGCCTGAACTGAACAGTGGAGTGGCTGGGGTTATGTTGCTCTATGTTGGTCATGCGATGTTTTGTGTGTGGTTAGGATATGTTAGGCGGGCTGCAAGAGAAGAACATTTTGGAATCCGAACTCTGACTGAATGCAGAAGCTGGTTGCATCTTTTTTGGGGGGCTTCGTCCCGTTTCCAAAGGTGTTGCCATTGATGCGACCAACGAGAACATCCGAAGAACGTCGAAAAGAGGGTCCCACCGGGTTCCAGTTCTGAGGCCATGGCGAATGCCATCCGAAGGTCTTGTGCGGAGGCGGACGCGCCATGGGCGGCTTTGACACGGAGTGCACCATCCTGCGACGCTTGGGCGAAAAAAGACGGCCAGCAATTGGGCCCGCGTTTGGGTCTGAACCCAGATGCTCCGTGTATGGCATATGTATGCCATAAATTTACATATATATACCTGCATTGGGGTGGTTTGAGGTGTCATGTGTGCGCATATATTCCATACATGGAGCGTCTGGGGAAAGAGTCTGAAGGGTCGGCTAGATACCAGGGAACATCCCCTCGAGCCCCTCGAATACATCAACAGCAGTCTTTCGTAGTATATAGCGTTTGTGGGTCACTGACGGTCACTGCCACTGGGTCGAGGGATGACTTTGTCACTATCATTGTGCATGCGCAGAATTACTGGGGTGAATCGTCGGGACGTTCAGTTGCGAATCGGCAGAACCAACACCACAAGTGGAGAATCGTGTTTTCATTCGAACACACCACGCTTAGTCTGTCTGACCCACGACGACTCCGGTCTCTCGCAGAGGTGCGGACGGATGCAACGGCCATTTTGGTGGAAGTCATTGAACCGGAATTGGAAGTGGGTGCTTTTCGGGGTAGAACATGGTAGAACTGTCTCCATTGCTGTGGTTCAGCAGATAGTTCGCCAGGGTGTATCCGGTGGCCTCACCAAAGAGTGTCATGTGAATCTCAGGCCACTTGCGCTCCAGGAAGGTGGTGGTGAGCCTTGGATTGATGAACGATCATCGTCTGAGCCACAGCACATCAGGATTATTTTGTACGTGAAAGGGCAGCCCTGGACCTGGAGAAACCCCACATGAACATTATTGTCCTTTATTGTTTTCAACCCAGTGGGTTCTTTAAGGTACTATGCTGGTACGTTGGATTCTGTTTCACATCATTATTGTAGTTTGTTCATGTGAAGAATAACACGCCTCAATTCTCATGGTTTTGTGTTTGTCTCTTTGCTCCCTGCAGGCTGATCCTCTCACAGCTCACCCACTCCAATCTAAGGAACACTTCCATGACCTTCCTCCTGCAGACACATCGCTTGAAACTTCCGAGTGAAGTCTCTGGTCACTCCTTCTTACCATCTCGCCTGTGGCTGGAACCTGGCATTGCCTGTCCATGGGAATGATTGGGACCAGGCTGCTGAGTCAATACCTTACTCACGTAGCACCGAGTTTGGCCGAATGATGCCAAATGCCAACGATTTCAGGGCCAATTCCTTGATATTCCTTGCACGAATGCATGGCACAAGTGGGACCCAGACAGGACAAATGCATGCGCAGCAGCATTGTTTCTTGGCAGCTGCATCGTGACAAGACCCGATGCATTGAGCACTGCGTTGAGCCGTCACTTGCGACCAGTTTCAGTCAGGGCTCAACTGACTAAGATGTCAGAGCCAGCACGTGGTGCATGTGGTCACAGAGCAAGCCCAGTTTGCGGTCAATTTTGGCACATGGGAAAACTGGACAATCTACCTCTTGCATTTCCTCGGCGTACTTCAGTCAGAATGTGGGCGACGTATGGTTAAACCTGCTGGACTGCCCCACTTGGTTCCTCCACTGCTGGACGCTTGGCTCCGCTTGGTATGGCTTCTGTTCCGTTTCGGCCATTTGTGGGAGCGAAAAATCTACCCACCCACTTCCCTGGCACAGGCAGACAGGATATGACAGGATCTAGGATGCTGCAAAGCTGCTTTTAAAGAAATCTTATATAATCCTTTTCTTAAAGGAGGCCATCACTAGTAGGTTGGAGGTCATCGCTTCTAGGTTGGAGGCCATCGCTATTAGGATCTATTAGGTTAAGATATGTTAAGATGCATGCAATCTTAATCCTTTCTTAAAGGAGATTGACTGGACCTTTGACGTGCCAAGCTTACACCGAAGTGCTTGTTTGCCGATGCAAGCGATGCCCAAGGTGCTTGGACAGACACTGCGGACAATGAAGCTTTTTGAAGCCAAAACTGACAGTTCAGCGGATGCCACACTGGTTGGAACCGATGATTTTCTGATCAACCAGACCATCCATCGTTCACGGAGTCTCCGGACCGAGTGGTGCGGAAAAAGGTGGTTTGATCGGCAGGAGAAGAGACAAACTCACATGTTCTTCCTCAGGGGCAAACGAGGAAGAATCCATGAACAACATTGAACAACCCTTCGTCATGTGAGATCACCCGAACAAGGGATTGGGGTTGCAGGATGTTGCAGGGTAAGCTAGTAGATTGGAGGCCATCGCTTGGAGGCCATCGCTAGGTAGTAGGTTGAGTAATTTTCGTGAGAACCATCCGGAATTCTCCTCATCCTTTGAGTCCACTGAAGGATGAGAGGTGAGCGAGGTGAGCTTGTCGACATGTCGAGGCTGCGAAGCATCAAAGGGACCGGACCAGCCAGCCTTCTGGATGCCTCTGAGGGGCAACCGTGCCTCAGGCCTATCGTGCTTCATCGTCCATCCATACAGTTCGCGTGTCCCTAACTGTTCTGTGTACAAAGAGGATCAACAAAAAGGCAAAAGGGGTGGAAAATGAACATGAAACTCCGGCAGTTGGGTGTTGATTTGTCAAAACATCAGCGGCCTGAGCAGCCAAATTGTTGGTCAGTGTCGTGCAGGTGGCTGCCTCTACAACTCCGCGGGGGTGCCCAACTTGAGCGCTTTGTTGGTCAATAACAATGGCAGGTGTCTCATGGTGTCATCCTAATGCCCGGCCAATTTCCTGCTCCCCCATCTTTAACAAGCTTGCTATTAGGTTGGAGGCCATCGCCATTAGGTTGGAGGCCATTGCGATTAGGTTAAGGTGCATTAAGAAGCTTGCTTTAGCCGGAAACACACATTCTTCGGGTTCGGACAAGTCAGTTGGAGTGTGTTGTCGGCAGGACGTGCTTCAGCATCCGCCATCGTGTGATGGGGCTGGGCGCACAGAGATCTAACCAAGGAGGGTGGCTGAGGAGCTGAGGGTTGGAGACATTCGGAGTGATCCCCCATGCGGAGCATCCAACATTTCAGATGTGAGCGTTGAGCTTTTCAGAACAACAATGACCAGTTGAACAATCCTCACAAATGTGCATGATGTGAGGACTTGAGCACTTGAAGGTGATGAAATATTTACACTCCCTGGAATCATCATGGAAGTGGAAAATGGCTCCTTGAATGACAATTTGTGTCTACAAAAGGTGGCTTTCCACTTCCATGATGATTCCAGGGAGTGTATATCTGGATATAGTAGGTCAGTGAAAAAGGCTAGTGGCTAGTGACGCTAGTGAGAGCAAAGTTTCATGGATTTGGGACTCGTTCCATCCTTCAACGGCTTTGCCACGAGGCACATCCTGAGACGCAGCGCTTGTGTGCTTGCAGAACGCCTCTGATGGCGCGGGTGCTGTCTTCTTCGAGGGTAGACGGTGAGTCGTGCATAGAGTCATCTCCTTCATTTGCCCCAAGCAAGGTGTGGTTGGGACATGTTGAGATTTCCATATAGTTCCTTTCAACTCAACTGCAGGTTGGAGACTACAGGAAGCTTAGACGGAAAAAGATGAAACATGTATCCCCCTCTCTCACAGTGGAGGCACTTCTAACACCACAATGCCTTGGAGTATGTTGGAGCTGGGTCACTCGATGATGGAAGCTGGGAAATCCAGGGATTCCAGATGGGCTCGGTCTTTGTCCTTTCATACGTTGGAGGTGGACATGTTTTGTATTCTCGTCCTCTTTGCACTTTTGGGCGGTTCAACGTGTTGGACCTTCACTATCTTACACCACGATTCTGTTCAAATCTGTCGACTTCTTGTTGGCACCTGCTGGCACCACCGGCACGGGGCACTGACCAGGCCGCCACAGCTGAGAAGGCCCCCGAGAAGGCGAAGATGGTGGTGCCCAAGGTGACGAAAACGGAGGCGCCGGGGACGAAGCCAGGGACGGAGAATGTGTTACTAGTAGATACTAGTAGCTTCTTGTTACTAGTAGTACGGCCAGGAGCCCCTAGTAGCGTCCTAGTAGCGATGCCAGGAGCCCCTAGAAGCTTCTTTTTACTAGAAGAGATGGCCTCCAACCTGATAGCGATGGCCTCCACCTAGTAGCTTCTTGTTCCTAGTAGTAATGCCAGGAGCTTGGAGGTTGGCGAAGCGGATTTGCAACGCCAGGGTGACGATTGTTGGAAGCTCCAAGTGAACATACTGCCAATCCCTGGTCATGTGGCCTGAAAGAATCATTGAGATATAGGCACCGACTTTTGTTTTCATGGTGGGGCATTCATCGGTTGAATAGTGTGGAATTGTGGCTTCAATAGTCATGTCAGGCTAGGTGGGCCTTTGATACTTTGGTTGGCAAAATGACTTCAGATATATAGCAAGTATTTCCGGTATTTCTGCTCAAGTTCGATAAACCATGATAAACCATGACAAACCCCATCGCCATCGCTTCTAGGTTGGAGGCCATGGCTATTAGGTTGGAGGCCATCACCATATGATAAACCTAGTCATTTTTTTTCACATGAAACAAGAAGCTATTAGAAACAAGTGCCACGCTAGTAGTAACAAGTGCCTTACTAGTAGTAACAAGAAGCTATTTGAAATGCAGTTGAATCAGTTGAGACTAATGCTGGGTGTGAGGCCCACTCTGATCAACTCGGCAGGTCCAACAGGTGTCAATGACGGCAGAGGCCAGGCGATGGAAGCTTCAGCTGTTTGCAGAACAAGGGGAAATCCAAAAATATCAAACAGTTGAAACCACTTTGGATCATTTTAGATAGTTTGTGTTTCTCCAGACATTTTTTGTTTTCTTTCTGTAGACTTGTTGTGTCTTTCTTTTAAACTCTTTTGACTTTGTTGTTTTGAAATTGTTTCATTTGGATAGTTGATGTGATCTACAGTGGGAAGAAGAGTTGTTTGGCAAACGGCTGGATGCCTCCAAGGCGGCTGGATGGAAGCCGGGCGTCCGTGCAGAGGCGGTTCGGAACCGTGCCACGCATTGGTTTAGAACTGCTAGTAACAAGTGCCACGCTAGTAGCAACAAGTGCCTTACTAGTAGTAACAAAAAGATATTAGAATTAAGTTTAAATTAAATTATATATAGCTTCTTGTTACTAGAAGCGATGCACTTGTTCCTAGTAGTTTCATGATTCGTTGCAAGTCGTTTGCACTCGTTTCATGTCTTTTTCGAGGCCTGGCGAAAAGACATCGCGGCCTTTGCCCCGAAGGAGCTGCCATTGAGGAAGGTCGCGCTTTTGGTTTATTCGAAAAGGACAGATGTTCTTTTTGGAACATGTCCTGTGGGGACGAGCCTATTCGCAGAATACCAAGCAAACCTCCTCCATTTTCTTCATTGCTGATGTTCCATTTCAAATGTTTTTTTTTTTTCTCCTTCTTTGTTCTTTGTTCTCTTCAAATCTTGTTTCCTCTTTGTTCTTCGATGTTCCTTCCTTCTTCAGACTCCACGAGAGCCTTTCCAGGAGCGCTCTGGAACCGCTCAGCCGCCTCCGCCGCTGCTGCTGCTGGCCGGCGACCGTCCGGAGGCGGCGCGAGAGACGGTGCAGGCGTTGCTGGCGTTGAGGCACGGCGACGTGAGAGGCGGAGCAAGGACGCTACTAGGAACAAGTGCCACGCTAGTAGTAACAAGTGCATCGCTACTAGTAACAAGTGCCT